AAACATTATTTTAAATATTTTTGAATAATTTTTTTTAATTAAAGAATTTTTTTCATTCTTCCTTAAACCACACAACTATATACAGAGCATTTACATTGTTTTAGGTATTATAAGTCTAGAGAGTATTTAAAGTACACAGGAAGATGTGCATAAGTTATATGCAAATATCATTCTATTTTATATAAGGGATTTGAGCATCCATGGATTTTTATATTTGAGGGTGTTCTGGAACCAATTCCATATGGACACCAAAGATGACTGTACTGTTGATAGCTTTCTCCTTTTTGAAACACCTCCTCTTTGTCTTCTGTGACATCCTGGTATCCATCCTACCTTACTGGTCACTCCTTCTGTGCTTCTTTTGCCATTCAATGTTAGAATTTCTCACTGATTGATCCTTGACCTTCTCTATTCCCTCTATCCTCTCTCCCTAGGCAATCTCATTCACATTCCAGCTGCAGTTGGCACCTTAGGACTAGACCCCAAGGGCACTCTACACTCAACCTGTTCAAAATAAAACTCAAGATCTTCCCTCAAAATCTCTCTCTCTCCCAGTGTTTCTCATATCAGTAAATGACAGTTGCCCAAGCCAGACCTCCTAGGCCTTATCCTTGATGTCTTGCGCTCCCTTATCACCTGTCCCAGGAAACATTTGGAAAAGTGTAAAGATGTTTTTAATTGTCACAATGGAAAGGGACACTACTGGCATCTAGTGAGTAGATGCCAGAGATGCTGCTAAACATCCTGTACAGGGCAGCCAATAAGGAATTATCTAGCACAAAACATCCCTAGTGCCAAGACTGAAAAATCCTGACCTAAACAGTCTGATCATGAAAAAAAAAATGGAATGACAGAAAGTAATGGATATAAAATATATCATCAAATAAGAAAGAATATTATTAAACTGCTTGACTCCTCCTTACTCAAACCCAAAGGTGATGATGATTTGAGCCTAGTTGACCCCCATAGATATAAAGCAAGACAATAGGAGAAGTAGATTGGAAAAAGAAGGTTATAAATTCAGCTCTGGCTATTTTAGATTTGAGATAATGGATGAGCTATCTGGCTGGATCTAAGAAGAGAGAAGAACATAATACATACATAATAGGGAGATTCGTTCGGACAGAGATACACATGGAAGCCAAGCATCTGAATGATGTTGCTCTTCAATATCACTTACTTCTACATCCTTACTAGAAATAAAAGACTAGAACTCTGTTCATAGAGTTACAGCAGGGCAGTGGCGAGATCAAGGAAATGTCGGCATCCAAATAAATATAGAAGGCTACTGCTTCTGATACCTAGGAAGCATTTTTCATGCTTACTCCAAAACCTTTGCTGAACTCCCAAGTGACCGCCCTTGTCTCTGACACCTGAACAAAACTATAGACAGTAGAGGGAACCCCAATAATAAAGATGTCTTCTGAGGTACTCCAGAGTTCACACAAAAATAATGTAAGATCTACTGCATCTGGTTCCCATCCTTACCCTCAAACAATCACCAAATAGTGGATTTAGTTAATGTCATCCTGACTCTAAACACAACAGCAGGATGGGAATGACAGGCACATGGATGGGAATACTATCCAGAACCCACAGTGCCCATGTGCATCTAGTACATGACCAAGGGACCCAACTAATGTGTCTGTGTGTTTGTGGCATCGATTCCACCCCTTAACTAATGTCTATGAAAGATGTCTCATTTCAGGATCACTTGCTCTTTGCCCTCGCCCTTCCCTCCACCTCTGCCTTATCCACCTGTTTTCTGGGAGGAACAGCAACACATAGGGCATGTGTAAAGCAATCTATTCAAAGAATCAGTCTTCAAGAATTTACTGTGGGGCTGGGATTGTGGTAGAGTGCTTGCCTAGCATGTGTGAGGCACTGGGATCGATTCTCAGCACGACATATAAATAAATAAAGGTCCATCAATAACTAATAAAATATTTTTTAAAAAAGAATTTACTGGACTTAAAGGCAGATATTATCTGTACACATGCTATTCATGTTCTCCACATTATGGTCCACAGTAGAAAGGACATGTGTTTTTTTGTTTGTTTGTTTGTCTATTTGTTTTTAAAAAGCCTCTTTAGGAAAAGGAACAGGTTTACCCAGCTCAGCTGCATGAATGGAGAATTGAATGAGAGCAACAGGTGCTGGCCCATGGCAGCCTGACCAAGAGAAGCTTTTTATTTACTCAAGTGTCAACATCAGGTCAAGAACAGAGATAGAATCTACAGCTGCTCCCAAAAACCCACTCAGCATAGAACTGCCTACAGTAGCACATCAAGGGCCCTCAGGAAATTCCAGAAAACAGAAACTTTCACCAAGGTCTACTATAGGACCAGCCAAAAATAGGATCCCAGAAAATCAACCAGGAAATGGATCAATTTCCAGTTTCCTGATGGCCTCCATGCCTAGCTCGTTGCTTAAACAGCAGTAACAAGAAAAGACTTGATCCTGGTAAAAATGCCAAGTTATTCTATTAAGCAGAGGTATATTTTGATTTACACTCTATGATCAGAGAATCCAAGGACGTAGGTTTGAGATGATAATAAAGGATTTCTTACTGGAAAATTTGATTTGACTACAAGAGACCACAAGGAATGCCAAGCACTAAGACTGTCCAATCCACAGGGAGCTTGTGAGATAGAGCGAGACAAAGTATGTTTTTTCAAGACAAATAAGATGAACCCCACTGTAAATTAGTAGTTTTGCCCAAGAAAAACCCAGAGCATCTATGCTGTGTCTGAGCTGAAAGCCAGATGTTTAAACTCACTGAAAATGAGAAGCTATATTTGTTCTTTTGGGTGATTCCAGTCACTCAACAAATTAGTGCCTCATTTTAGTAACTGACAGTCTAATGCATATTTACAATAAGGTCTAAAAGATGAATAGTACCCTTTTGGTCCTAAAAAGTTAGGGCCAAATTAGTAAATTAGTAAATTACTTTGAGCTAGGTCAGCATGTCTTAGGGAGGCCTTTCCTGGAGGGGTGTGCCTGGCCTTTAAGTTAGGAAGTTGAGATTCCCAATGAAAGAATTGGAAAGCCATACATTGGACCTAAAAGTCAATGGCCAGGAATTCAGAAAAAAAAAAGAACTAAGAATTCTAAAAATTCCAAAATCATTGGCAATCACCACAGAGGATTAAAATTGGAAGATACCTGGGATAAAGACCCCATGATCTGGAAAGATGAAAATACTTGACTAACATCAGAGGCAGAACTTAGGCAATAGTTTACTATATTAAAACTCCCTCCCCCTCACCCCATCAGGATAGAACAAGTTGCAAAAGGCAAGCTAGGCCAATTCCCAAAATGGTATCTAGTACAAAGAATTCCCAGGAACAAGCAGCAACTTTGTCCCCTGCCCTGCAGAAGGTACAGATCAGGCCATAGGCAGCTTGATGAATGTTCATCTGCCCCCTAGGTTCTTCTGAACTGGGAGGAATGCTTGGAGAATAATTGATGGGCCAACTTTGACTAGGGACCAACATGAGTTTAAAAGGCTCTAAGACTGGATGAAGAAGAGCATAACTCTGAATGCAAGACCTTCCATCCCCACACCAAGGAAAAGTAAATAGATTCCATGTGGCCTGGATTCTAGAAATCACAGACCATCTGTGGCTTAATTAAACCAATGGATTATGCCTCAGAGATGAGTATCACATGTTAGGTAGGCTTATTTAAGTCCTTAATTTGGCCTTTATAAGGATTATTCATTTATCCCAATATCTAATAACCCAGTAAGCATTCATCAAGCATTAAATGTACTTAATACCAGATAAACTGAGAATAACAAGAGAAACAGTCCTTTATCCTAGAGAGGCCTGCATTTCTCATTGAATAAATGGCTCATATATGCATTTAACTTCTAGAAAAATATGTGAAAACCACACAAAATCAATACCTGAGGCATCTGTAATAAGAAGAAGGTGTCTAAGGAAGAGATCCTTGTTAAGGAGGTCCCTTCTCAATGGTGGATATGTTCATTAAAATGTGTTCAAACCTGGGCCAAAAATTCAACATTGAAGAAGGTAAAGAACAATATACCAAGTTCATCACCTGAGCCTTTGCAAAAATTGATCCAATTCAGTGGTGAGAGCTCAGAAAAGTCTGACTCCCATTGTAGTTTCATAATGACAACCCCATGCTTGGCCTCACACCATTCAACTGCTTCAGAGGAGACAAAAAAATATGACTCAGATAAACAGACCTAGTTTCTTCTAGGTTTGAATACACAATTTCAGTAGCCAAGTTTCTCATGGTTTTTAAACCTGAACCAAAGCTCTCCCTTTGCTTCAGTTGCCTAATTTCCTGAGTTGTCTAGATTTTTGAACCTTATATATGTTAAAGCTGTTGTGTGTGTCACAATTAAATTGCAAACTGGGAAAAAGAAAGATAACTGTTGCTAATCCCACCCCACCCCTATTTGCCCATTTGGTTTCTTATTCTACCTGGCCACCTACACAGTGCCTTCTGGAAAATAAAAGATAAAGTTGAACAAGATGAAAAGAGAACCTATATAAACCTAGCGGGAAAAGAAAATTATAATAATCACATGGTTAACAGAAAATAAATCACATAGGCAAAATTCTTAATATGTTCAGATTGCATGTGTAGTAGAAAAGTTCCAATATCAAGAACTATGTAATGTTTTGAACAACCAACAATAAAAAAAAAGAAAAGTTCCATAAAAGCAGCCCAGCATCTCTTACCCATAAATAACAAAGGAGCATTGTTGATAGCAAGCTATAGATACCCAGGACTCCGCTAAGCACCACCAGTGTCCAAAAGGGCTTAGGAGACTCAGGCGATTGGACATCAGGACAATTATTCTTCTCTGAAAAATAGAATAGAGTGAATTAAATGATACAGGAATAGCAGTTGAGTATATTTCCTTTCTTCTGAATATTAGAGAAGAATGCGAAAGAGAAAAATAAGCAAAACATCATGAGCTTAGAATGTGTAGACTTCATCTTTGGGATTTATCCAACCTCACCACTGACCAGAATGGTCCATTTTCAAGATTGAAGTTAGGGTAGTACACTGGTACAACTGCATTCACCTGATTTTGTTGAACTCACTTTGTGATTCAAAATAGTGACTTCCAATGGTCTTAATCCAATTCCATACCCTACCCCCACGAGAAGCCAGTTTATCCAGATGCTAAGCTATATTTTTGGAATAAGTTAAATAATATACATGTTTTCAAACCTTAAGAAAATTATCAATCTAGTATGGCAAAAATCTGGGCTGGTAATACAAAGATAAATGTCTAGCTTCAACTCTAACAGCTTATGTTGTGGTGAGAAAGTCACTTTATACCATCAGGTATCCAAACATGGGAAGGAATGTGTAGAGTTCTAGTCAAAATTGGAGACAATTAGAATTGGAAAGAACAACAAAAACTATCTAGTGTATTGATTTTTTAATCGGAGATGCACATTAGGATTGTCTGAGAAAGTCTGAAAATATAACAATATCTAACACCCCTTCCTCAATTCATTCCAATTACATCAGACTCTCAAAGTTGGGCCCAGGAATGGGTTTTTTGTTTGTTTGTTTGTTTGTTTACCCTAAACCTACTCATATTTATAATACGCAAGTAGATCTGAAGATTACTAAGGATCACTGGTGTCCTTTCCATTTCTGCTAGAAATGATATACTATGTGCATAAGTGTGTGTGTGTGTGTGTGTGTGTGTGTGTGAGAAGTACTATCCTAAAGTAGAATATCATTTACATAAGAAAAACATTTGCTCTTCACTTCAAACCAATAGTTTGGTTGGGTCAAGTTAAAGCATATTTTCTTAAGCTTTAACTTGACCCAACCAAACTATTCAGCCTGGACATCATAGAAATTAGATATCTGAATGGAATTCAGCAAGCCAAACATTCTCACATTAATTGCCTCTATTTTTCAAGAACACAAAATTATTCTCCCAAATTAAGTTAATTGTTCTTTTCTTGTTTAATATTTGATTTTTCTCTAGCATACCTCTGTTTAGCATAGGAGAAAAAATATTTATTGGAATTATGTTAGTATTAAATATCAAACTGAGCATACATTTTTAAATTATTGTTCTACCGAAAGGAAATAGTGTATCCACAAAGACTACCAAAAAAAATTTTTTTATCTAGCCACTCTCATTTTTATGTGTTGATACCAATAAACTGTATTCTTCTGAGTTGGGGGGTGTTCTACCCAATATTTGGAGAGAACATAATCTCAACATCAGATCATTAGACTTATTTCCACTAATTCATGAATACTGTTTAATAATATTATTAAGTTTTGGGCATTGAAAAAGTATGGCAACTTATCAAGATCACAGAGTTAATTAATAGCAAATCCCCTGGTTTCTAGCCCAGCATCCTTTGTATGTTTTGGAAAATGAAAAAAGTACTTAACAGAGGAAGACTGTGGAGTAGAAAGATGATTAGTTTGAATTATAACCCATTCTTCCTTAGTTCTGATCCATTAGGCCCAGCTGCTTCTTGGAGTTCATTTAGACTTATATTTTAATAGCAAAATTTTTATTCTGTCATGACCCACTCAAATTGAGAATAATCTTCATGTTCCCATGGGCTATAACTTCATCACTCACTCTCCCACTCCATGTCACTGAGTAAAGATATTCAAAATATAACTTTGAATCTTTTCTAAAGTAAAGGAAAACTTTTTAAAAATGACTTGTCTTTACTAAATCACTGGGGACTACTCCAGCCTCACCACTGATCCTATCTCATTTTCAAGACCATAGCTTAAACTTACAACTTTACGGTGGTAGGAGCATAGAGTTGCATCTTACCTTTCACATGGATAACAGTTCCATTGCTCTTCTCATTGTCTAGGTAAGGAGGAGGATACATAACCTCAATTTTGCAGAAGTAAATATCTGTTTGGTTAACATACAAATTCCGGAGATAGAAAGTCACTGTTTCGTTGCCCAATTTCCCATCACAGTTGAATCCTGTGTGTGAGTAAAACTGAAGCTGATGGGAGAAATTCCCATTCACAACGCAGACTTCCACAGCACTATCCACACCCTTATAAAGGGATGCCCGGAACTCCTTTGAGAAGAGGTTGTAGGTATACTTGCAGCTAAGGTTGACCTCATTGTTGTACACCTCAAGCCTGGGTGATTGCTTCACCAAGATCTTGTTTTCTAGAGAGGGGGGAAAAATCATTTGCTTAGACTAGGAGTATAAGAATATGTTTTTCCTGAAATCAAAGTGTATTAATTAACCAAATGAACAGATCTCCTGCAAAAGCTTTCTCAAAGTAGATGAAGATTCAGGAGCTCTTAGAATGAGAATTATACCTAGAGTTTTAAAGTTCACATTTTGATCATGTTTTCATCCTCATGTAAATGGGACATCAGAGCATGTTTTCACCTAGAAGGCAAAACTTGGCCTTCTGTTAGCACTGAGCATCACAGCTATGCCCTTGGAATTTGTGAATCTGTGTTGAAATTCCTAAGATGTTAATCATGCATTGGGCTGATTTCTTGATTAAGTGATATTTTTGGAAGCAGCTTTAAAGTCTGACACATTAGCACAAATGGATGTATTTTTAAGTTGTGAGACAGGTTTTTGTGAAGGAATTAAAAGTTTTGAGACATTTTAGTTTTTTATTGGTCATTCCAATGCCTAATAGCTTTTTGTTTCCTATGTAGTTATCAATACTGCTGTGCATACAGAACTTTAAAAAGTAAACCTATGTCTAGGTCCCTCCACTCCCAGATATTCTGATTTAATAGGGTCTAGGCTAGAGTGGAGGGTGGGGGCTATTAGGCTTAGGGTGGTTGGTAGCAACTTTTTTGAGATATAATTCTTGTATTATAAGATTCATCCTTTCAAAGTATACAGTTCAGTGGTTTCTTAGGATAGTCACAAAAATGTGTATAGATCACCATATGATTCCAGAATATTTTCATTATCCTCCAAAGAAACTTCCTATTCATTAGCAATCATTCTGAATTCCTCCCTCCTTCCAACCTCTGGCAACCACTAATTTTCTTCACTAATCTACTTTCTGTCCCTACGTATTTGCCTGTTGAGCACATTTCACATCAATGAAATCATATAATATGTAGTCTTTTATATCTGGCTTCTTTCACTTAGCATGCTTTCAAGATTCTCCCAGGTTGTAAAATGTATCAGAATTTCATTAATTTTATGGCTAAGATTCTATATATACAGTATATATACACAGTGGAATCTTAGCCACAAATTTTCATATATTTTGTTTTTCTGTATGTGTGTTTGTGTTTGTGTGTGTGTGTGTGTGTGTATACATACTAGGGATTGAATTTAGGGCCTCATGCATGCTAGGCAAGCACTCTGCCACTGAGCCACATTCCCAGCCCGACTTTTTGGCTATTATGAATAACACTACTGTGAACATTTGTGCAGACATATTCTTTTAATATGGGTATGTTTTCAATTCTCTTAGGTATATACCAAGGGTGGAATTGCTGGATCATATTGTAAGTCTATACTTAACCCTTTGAGGACTTGCCAAATTGTTTTCCAAGCAACTACACCATTTCACATTCCCACTGGCAAAGCATATAGGCTCCAGTTTCTCTGCACCCTCTCTAACACTTGTTGTCCCTCTTTTCTATGACAGTCATCCTACTGTGTGTGAAGTAGTACCTCATCATGATTTCATTTGCATCTCTCTCATGGCTAATGATGTGGAGCATATTTTCATGTGCTTGTTAGCCATTTGTAATACCTTGTTTAAATAAATGTCTATTCAGATCATTTGCCCACTTATTAATGGGTTTGTTTTTTTTATTGCTGAATTATCAGAGTTATTTTATATTTTTGAAACAAGTTCCTTATCAGATACTCTGTGATTTGCAAATGTTGTCTCCCATTCTCTGTGTTGTCTTTGGTATTGTCTTTAAAGTCTCCCTCGCCATGGATTCTAACATTCAGTTGGGATTGAAAACCACTATGGCCAAACAGATTTTTCAAGCTGACTACCTAAGAGAATCATTGGAGAAATGTTAAAATCCCTGATTGCCAGGACAATTAAATCAGCATCTCTAGGTATAAAATCATGGCATTAGCATTTTAAAGTATCTCAGGTGATTCTAAATTGCAGTCAAGTTTGAGAAGCACTAGGCTCACAGATGGAAACTTCTTATCCTCAAATTCGCAGGTCTCCACAGGCTTTTCCAATTTCATTTTCTCAAATCAAAACCCTCCTAATTAGCCAAACCCTTTAAGTCAACACCCAGAAACACACGGTGAGGATGATCTTCCCTACTTTATCCGCTGACTCCATGGAGGACAGTACCATTTCCTTCTCAGGTATCAAGACAATCACTGTATCGCTCCTATGCCATTGGGACAGGTTTTCATCTTTTGAACACTTTCTTTTTTCATATGTTTCTATTTAATAGCTTTTTCTGATCCATGTGAATTTCCTGTAGGCCCTGGTTTCCAAGCTTTTGACAGCAAGGACCATGTTACCCTTCTTCACAGAACACGGTAAGACTAGTAGGATCTCATTAGATAATTGTTGAGAGACGCTGATCTCGCTATATTATTCCTATCCTCAGGGGAGTCTCACTACCATTTTATTAAATCCTTGTTGGAAACCAGTGTCTAAACACCTTCAGCTTCCCGTACCATTCATTCAACAAATACTCTGTAAAAGCACTGCAAAGTAAACACATGAGTAATCTTAAAAGTTCTGCCTCAGTCTGAAAAATCCAACTTGTTTCTTTGTTTTTCTTCATTGGGCTTTTTTCTTTGTTTACCTAGAAGGAATCTTTGGGCCAGTTCTGATTGGAAGGGCTCAAAATGGCAGTGTATTCCCTCCTTTTGAGAGAGTACAATTAGGCATTTGTCTTTTTGTTTACTAACCCTCTGGAAAGTGTTTGTGTTGCTAACTATTTGGATTCTGTTTTAATGGGTCTTCAGATTTCTTCTGATCTCCCTGTGACAGCAGACATAGGGAAAAGATGAGAACAGGACTTCTTTGTAGGAATAAAAAAAATAAAATGGAGCTGTGGGCAGGGAAACTGAGTGAGGCTAGAGAGAAACCCCAGATGGTTACCCAGTTTGGCTTCCTCATTCCAACACCCAACAATGAGGTGCAGAGAGGGAGCGAGGGGGAGAAACAAGGGAAAGCTTTGCCATGCAGATTCCAGTTTGCTTAGTGTGTCTTGTCTAATTCAGGGTGTGACATCTTCCCAAGACACACACAGGAGATAAAAATTCATTCCCCAAAAATGAACTTCTTGGGTAGCTCACAATCTGGAGGGGAAGAAAGATGTACAAACAGATAGCTAATTTTAAAATAGTGGCATAATGATCTGAAGTTTCTGGGGGTGACTGAGGATCTCTAGAGAAGACGACCACTGACTGGCCTGAGAGGTGAAGGATGATGTATATATTTGTTTGACAAAAGTTTACCAACCTATCGTGGCTAAGATGTGCCTTGTATGGGGGTTGGCATAAAGTGGAAGAGTGTGTGTTGAGGTTGAAGGTGAGTTAGGGAACCGTGGGGAAGATAAGACAAAGAGGAAAAGAGAGCAGTCTACGCAAAGATCATAAGGAGGTGAGAATGGGCATAGCAGATGTAGGGAATTATAGCTACCTCAGTTTTGCTGGATCTTGGGTTGTAAAAGACAAGATTGGCAAAGCAACTAGAGTTCACCTCGTTAGAGAGCTTGGGCCCTCTCCTGCAGTAATGGGAACTTACTGAAGGTTTTTAAGCAGAAAAGTGAATGAATGCTCACAACTTTTCATTTTATATAGATCACTTTAGCAAGGATAGGGCACATGAATTTGGAGGATACAAGAGTAAAACTGTGGAGTCCATTTAGGTTACAGTCGTAGTCTAGGCAAGAGGTGAAAGGGACTATATTTCCATATGGTTTGAAAGAAGTGGATGAAGTTAAGAAATAATTACAGGCTAACATTTGCAAAACTTGACATTGACCTAAGAGTGGTAAGAGAAAAGGAGTTAAAAATGACTTCCTTAGACAACACAGACAACCAGCAGCAATTATTTTCCTTTTGCCTACATCTCTCCTTCATTCATCTCTTCTTCATTATTTCACCAGAATAGTTGGTCAGAAAGTGAAGTGAAATTTGGAAATCTGAAATATGAAAAAAAAAAATTCCTCTACCTTTGGGGATCATTGCAAAGAAAATATGAACTAATTCAGAGATTACTGGGAACACAGTTGACTTTCTGGAGTTTATTACAGTGTTTGCTGATTCTTAGAAGAGAGAAGCAGCAATCTTTCTCTCCTGAAACTATTTTCCTTCACAATGCATATTGGAGTGAAGTAACTGGAAGATAGCATTACCTTCTGTCCATCATTGGGCCTCCAAATTCAAACTTAAGCATTGTTGAAATGGACCAGATTTCTCCTAAGCCTATTAGGCCTCAGAATAACAAATTTATAACTTTCTTAGGAGAAATTCAGGACTCCTTTAGTGAAGCTGGCCATTACATATTCAATATCATCTTGGTGGTTGGAATATCCAGCAACTGAATGAGAAGGGGAAAGTATTTAATTTTGTGACTCTTTCTGCTAAGATTTTGTTAGGAAAGTATTTGAAAACTATTGGTTATAAGGGCATTTGATGATGTAAAGGATATATCTAATTTATCTGTCAATATTTACTTTCCTCTCTCTTCTGTGTCAACACAGATCATTTTTAAATTAGTTGACTTTATACATAGGTACTGAACTTGAAATAGTTTACTTATCTATGTTATCTGTAGCTGATAGCTAATTTAGAGTTCAGGTTGGGTTGATAAACTTCTTGTTTTTCACTATTTATATCCTTTTAGCACTTGATCCCAATTATTTTTTATCAATAATTCAGAAAAGATTAAGTAAGAAACTATAGCATAGGACCTCAAAATCTATATCTGCTTTGGAGGATATATCTGAATGAAAGAGATTAATGTTTGGTGAAAACCAGTTACTTTAAGTGATATTGAATAGGTGTGATTATTATGAATTCCAGTAGACACAATAACTCTGATTCCTCTTATTTTCTCTTAAAATGGAGCATGTGTGAAAATATATACCCTTCACTCTATGGGAGTGGAATATAAAGACACAGATAAAACAAGGCAACTGATAACCAGAACAATTGATATTTGACCAGGATATGTATTTTTATT